ACTAGATCAACGCGACATTGGAAGCCTGTTTCCTTCACGATGTATTACCCAAAAGGGCCAGCATGTAGGAAGCCGCTTGCGCACTGTGAAATCTTCGCAGGTCGACTTATGTAATCGAATTTCTGATTGTTTCGTTTAAAGTGGTATATGCAATTGAATTCTTTATCCACTGCAGCCACACAGCGAAGTGGAGCTAGAATGGTAAAGTCTGTTGATGGCCTGATGTATGACAATGCCAAGAATTGGGTAGCCTTGACAGAAGTTCTAAGATTATCCTTCATAATTGCTTTCGCAGAACACATGTCTGCATTCCTTCTTTATTACCTACTGTGCTAGGAAAACTAATAATCTCTCTCTCTCTCTGTTGTCCGATGTAAGGTGCTTTCCTTAACCACACTTTTCGTTAATTCACTGTGCTGCCGTTGCTAATAGCGGTGATAATGAATCAATATTTCAATAAATGGGTTTTGCAAAGTGTTAAATACAAATTCATTTTCAATTTTTCAGTCAAACGTTCATATATCAAACTCTCTGGGAAATAAATTTCGCCGACGACACTGAAAGCAAATTAAATTTCAACCTTTTGGATGTTTAATGATAACATCATGGGTGAAGTATAAAACTTTTTTTAACCAGGCTTTTCTTCAGTAGGTCACAAAAGTAGTAGATAAAGGCAATTTTGAGCTCAAAACATTCCTAATATTTCCAATTTTTTGTTTTCCTCACATTAATCGAATGTATTGCTAATTGGGTTTGATTGATTAATTTTGTCATTCACTAATAATTTCTAAAGTACTTCTTAGTAAGAGTTGAATGAACGATAGTTACTGCGAAAGTTGGAATATATTTTAATAAGCTAATATGACAATGCACTTAATACAATCGTTTGTATCATGTGTCCACTAAGGAAACACAATTTTAATTTTCTGTACAGAATTGCTGATTTTAAAAATTGAGAGCAAATATATTTTAATAATGAAGCTCAAATTGCCAACTTTGCTGGCGAAATGATACTATGGTGGTGTTCGCGTCAGACTTGATGTGCAAAATATTGTTAAATCCACATAAACATCGAACATTTTCCTGCGTATGTTAATGTCTGCGTTTGCAAGATTCCAGAAGGTTCATTTGTTCATTTTCAAGAACAAGACATTGTTCATTTTCAAGAAAGCGGCATTTCTTATTTAGTTAATGGCACTATACTTAAAACACTTTTTTTTTTGTAAAAAAGTAATTTCCTTTGGTTCTTTTAGTTTTATCTTGAGAAATGTCTCCTCTTTGATTTCATTTAACTCGTTTCAAACATTTATCAAAGAAATCATTTTCTCTTAAAAATATCATGTTAATATTTAAATGTGTGAAAACCAGAACGGTATAAGTGACATTTTATAAATTATGATAAATCAGTTTATTTAAGTCAATATCAATGTCATGGTCCTTTGTTTCATCATTTCAGTCACCATAACGTTTCAGTTGTTCATTAATATCACGAAAAATCATTGCCTCTGAAATATAGCCTGAAATATACACTTTTTCTCAGAATTTATGAAGTGTTGCTTATACCGTTCTGTGTTCACCCATTCATTTACTCTAAATAATGTTTAACGTAGATAGAGAACATTCCACAGTATGAGGAATGACGTGAAGCAGAATGTGGGAGAAGGTACTTATTAATAAGGGTGGCAATAAATATTTCAATCCGACTTATGGTTCCTGTCTTTTTTATGGTTGAAAAGTGCATAGTCTTTGCAATGTCAGCCGTTTAGTGTAAACAGAGATATCACTGACTCGATTTTATTACTGTGCTATTTGCACATGTGACTCAGTTCATGAAAGTAAACCGATACCTAAGCATAAACTAAGTCTATTTCTGTGAGTAGTGGCACTGTCTAGTTTTTCATACTGTACTAAACTAGTTACCCTTTTTGCTTATTCAAATAATATCTCTCTAACACATTTTTAGTTTGAACAAAGCCATTCTCAGTAAGTATACTTTTACATATATAACTTTAATTGATTCATAAATCGATCATGTAAGTCATGTATTGAAGGAAATCGAAGCTATGCACTTTCTGTGCAAACACCTTTCATTACAGAAACATATAAACACTCCAGACAGTGTAACTTGTTTATCATTACAAAAGAAATGAATATAATTGTTCAGAAAGAAAAATTAACACAGAAAAAACAGTAGAATTGTGCAATTGGGTGCTTTTTTATTCCTGTGTTCATTTTTCTTTCAGAACAAATATATTCATTTATTTCTAAATAGTAAACAAGTTACATGTTTCTGGGGTTGTTCATATGTTTCTGAAATGAAAACTTGCATAGAAAGTTTTATTCAAACCAACTTTAGTGTAATTGCAGCTCAGCAATTCTAAATATTGGAGGAGTTTATTAGATAAATATGCTTAAAATTGTCTTTAGAGCTTATTTTCGAAGCTTCGACATTTCCTCCTTTGACATTCTGTGTAAAGAGTGACTTCTAATTACGGTATCATCTCAGCAATTAAAAACATCGTCTTAGAAGCTGTATTTCTCAACGACGTACCGCAGAGTGAGTAACAAGATTATGATACCAAGTTTAGTCTTGAGAGAGTCTCGTTTCATCGCAGCCGGGATTAATAATTGTCGAAGTTGCCAGTACTTCACGTGAAAAGGATATACGAGTAACTTACTTTGTAATGTGTTGCCTGACACGTGCAAGCACACGAGGTTAGTTTGCTGTGGAAAGCGCTATCAGGAAGGTCGAATGGAACTTCTAGGAGAACACAGCGTATCGTTTCTCTCTACGCAACAGTACCTCTTCCGCCGAGACGCCTGCCTCATAAATCATTCGATACAAGTTCACGACGACATATACCGAAAGTAACACAAGGTTGTGGAGTGTGAACGTGAAAGTCTTTCTGTACAATTGTTATTGTGTTCAGATTCTATGAAAAATTCTATTTAAGCTCTTTAAAACCTTGAAAATGTGCAGGATCGTCGTTCCACATTTCGACTTCATTTATAAAATATTAGCTCAGTACTAATACTATGTGGTAATTGGTGTCTCATTAGGTTTGTGCCATCATATTAACATTGTTAGTTTTGTAGAAATTGTGCTCTAATACTTTGGAAATTGATCCTTAGGATGGGATGTTTTATCTGTTCAGTTCACTATAGGACTGGGGTAAATAAGAATGTATATATAAAAGTAAAAAGTCGGCTCGTGGCGCAGACGGTTGAGGCAGCCGTTGTCTGTGCCGGAGAGGCTGCAGGTTCGGTCCTGCGTAGACATGGTCGTGTTTGTGATTGTCCCTTCACCTATCATCATCCTTTCATCTCATAATTCGCACTTCAAGGCATAACAACCTTATTGTAATCCAAGAATACAGCCGAAAAGCTGATCCTGGAAGAATTACACACGTTAATCGTGTAGCGTGGTCAGTAATGGCCTATACGCTAATAATAATATAATAATAATAATAATAATAATAATAATAATATTAAAATAATAATAATAATAATAATAATATAATAATAAAATTATAAAAGATTATCAAGCGTATATAATTTTTAGACAATTTTCAGATCAATTCGTGTTCATGAATTTCACATTGTACTTTTGAATACATATTTTTAATTATATTGTTAGATTTTGTAGATGTCGATTTCATTCCTTGAAAATGGCTCCAGAGTCCTTTCGCAACATGTTTCTTTTTCTTCGACTCTCTATTAGAATGGTAAGATTGTTTATATCAAGAAAGATCGTTGACATATATTCTTTTACCATAATAAATAATTGTTACAAATTCAGTAGAAGTTTCAGTCCTTTGCCCTTTCTTTGTTGTATAATGTAAAAATATTTCTGCGAAATAGAACACTATTTTTCGTGTAAAATGAAGTTGTTGCTGAACTGAAAATCTCCCATTCTCGAGGAAGTGAGAGATAATACTTGTAAATATCACTGTCCCTGAAACACATTTCTCTATTCGATAC